TTTGTGAAGTTCTGTTGGGTCCCAGGCCACGTGGGTATAAGAGGTAATGAAGAAGCTGATACAGCTGCTAAGTCAGCAAGCCCTTCACAGCATACAATGCATATTGAAGGAGGTGATTTGAAGCTGGTCGTTAAAAAACGACTAGCAGAGAGATGGCAAAATATGTGGAACGCACAAATCCACAATAAACTACACGAGATCAAACCTTTGATAGAAAATTGGACACACAATAGGCAGTATGATAGGAGATCTGAGGTTGTCCTTACTCGTTTGAGAATTGGACACACACGACTGACTCATCAATACCTTTTGAAGGGAGATGACGAAGCAGTATGTCAGTACTGCAATTGTACCGTAAGTGTTAAACACATACTTTGCAATTGCATCGCTCTTGATCAATGTCGTAGACAGCATTTTGGAAATGCAAGTTTGAGTGAGATTTTGGGCCAGAGGCCAAAACTTGATAAGTTACTGAACTTTCTTAAAGTTGTAAATATTTATAAAGAGATTTAATTAATTATTCATATACTTATTGATTATTTATTATCATATTTTTTTATTATTATTTATTATATATTTATATCTGTTTTGTTGTTTTGTTTATTTGATCTTATTCATGTTTATGTGTTGTATCTATATTTTGTTATATATATTATGTTCATTTATTTATTTATTTTACCTTTTGCCTTGGCGCAGCATGGCCTGAATGGCCCTTGTGCCAGAAAACTCGCACCAACCAACCAACCAACCAACCAACCTTTGTAATCTTATAATTTTATAACTTACTGATTTTGTGATTTATAATTTTATAATTTGTACTTCGCGGGCATCTTAATGTAAACTGTATCACTTATTGTTACTTTTATTTGGCATTTTTACTCTCATTGTATTCGCATGTACCTTGTTCATGTAACCATTTCCTCATTGCATTTGTCTATGTATAACTGTATGATGTATTACCTCGACATTCTAATATGTTAACCAATTATCGCGCCAACAATCCATTGTAAATTCTCATTGCTTAATTGTCCAAACTGTCAATCATGTATGTATTTGTCTTATTTTTAATAGTTGCGGTGCAGGCGCCCATGAGTCTCCCACTTACCCTACTCTATCCTATCTTACTTTCTTTCACCTTCGCCTTAACTCGTCAAACTTTTCTTTCCTTCCTTTTCCGGTTCTGGGGCTATACCGTTGAGTGTGGCCCATCACCACCCCCTCACAATGTTCTGTATATTCTAGGGTTGAAAGAAGGATCCGAATGTCGTATTCACTAGTTTATTTACCGCTAATTACAACTCTATGTACAGATGGTAGGAACAATGCCGATCCTGTAGACAAAGATCGGAGAGTACGGGATGAGCGTCCGAACCTGAGCACGTCGACCCAAAAAGTGTGAACCTCGACCTCTGACGTCACGCGGGTTGGGGATGGTGGTCAGGCGAAGTGTTGCCGACCACCGCAGTACTCCCTTCCTAGTGTAAACGATCGTGAGGCTAGAGAGAACGTGCCGGGAAACGGACGCGTCTTCCGGAGCGTGTCGTGGTTTTGGTTTCTGCTTCTTATTTCGAGTGCGTGGTGCTCGATGGTTTCGGATCTTGTACTTCTGTTGAACGGGGAACTTGTCCCGTGTCTGTCTCTTGTTTGTCGTCTGTTGGTGGTTGCTCGCTTGGTGAAAAGTGTTCCGCCAGACAATAAGCTGGTTTAAGTCTGTCTATGAAGATAACTGTTTCTTTTTGCTGTACGCGGACTTTGAAAAATTTGTCTGCACGCTGCAGTACAGGAAATGGTCCGTCGTAAGGCGGCTGTAGAGGTGGCCGTACTGCGTTGTGCCGCACGAAGACGTGGGTGCAGCTCCGTAGGTCCTGGGGGACGAAAATTTTCTTTGTCCCGTGACATCTCGTTGGAATTGGTGTCAGCTGATGCATTTGCTCTTTGAGCTGCTGGACGAAAACTGCTGCGTTTGAGTCTGTCGGTGTAGGGGCGAGGAACTCGCCGGGTAATCGTAAGGTTGTCCCATAGACGAGTTCGGCGGTTGTCGCCTTGATGTCTTCTTTAAAGGCGGTTCGCATCCCTAGTAGCACTGACGGTAAGACCTCTGTCCAGCGGTCGGTCAAGCAAGCCTTGAGAGCCGATTTAAGTCTGCGGTGGCTGTTTTCTACCAGGTCGTTAGCCGCTGGGTGAAAGGCTGTCGTGTGAATGTGCTTGCTGCCCAATAATTTGGTCAAAGCTCGGAACAGGTGCGATTCGAATTGTCTACCCTGGTCATTAGTGACCGTCTTCGGTACACCGTAACGCGCGACCCATTGACCGTAAAAAACCTTTGCTACAGTCTCTGCCGTAAGTCGGCAATCGGGAAAGCCTCCACCCAACGGGTGAACCTGTCGATAAGCGAGAGGAAATATATGTTACCTTGCGAAGGCGGAAGGGGACCTACAATATCCATATGCACGTGTTCGAAACGGGCGTCCGGGGCCTGAAGATTTTGAACAGGGCATCACGTGTGCCTATGAATTTTCGCTCGTTGGCATGGTATGCAGGTTTTGGCCCACATACGAGAGTCCTTTCTGATTGAAGGCCAAACAAAACGACTAGTTATTAAGTTGGTGGTAGCTCTTATCCTGGATGAGCCAGATTGTGTGTGGCGTCGAAGACTTGCCTGCGGAATTTAATCGGGATATATGGGCGAATTTTGTTCGTGGATATGTCACAGAATAAATCGGGGCCTGAATCCGTTAAAGGCATTTTTTTCAGTTGTAAGGCCGTATTTGAAGAAAGTAGTTGCTTTAATTCGGGGTCGCTGCTCTGAGCTTGCGCGATGCTCGTGTAGTCTATTGCGTTTGGCACTTCGATAGTTTCGATCCGCGACAATACGTCCGCCGGTGTATTGTCGCTGCCTTTGATGTAGCGGATGTCCGTGCTGAATTGCCCTATAAGGTCTAGGTGCTTTAATTGCCTAGGGGTGCACTTCTCGGGCTTCTGACTAAAAGCGTACGCCAGTGGGCGATGGTCTGTGAAGACCGTAAACTCCCTGCCTTCGAGCATGTGCTTGAAATGCCTTATTGATGCGTATATGGCATAAAGCTGTCTATGGAAAACCGACCATTTTCGTTGCGGCTCCGTTAATTTGGCAGAGAAAAAAGCTAGTGGCTGCATCTTCGGTATGCCATTGGAGGGGTCGACTTGATTTAGCGAGCCGCCGATAGCTATGTCACTTGCGTCGGTAAAAAGTGCCAATTGCGCGTTTGGATTTGGATGTGTTAATAGCGTCGCGTTGGCTAATTCTTTCTTACAGTGGTGGAAAGCGCTGGTTGTCTTCTCGATCTACTGAATTTTGCTGTTGGATTTAAAATTCGGTTCTTTTAGTAACTCATTCAGTGGGGCTTGCGCATGAGCTGTGTTTGGGACATTTCTACGGTAATAGTTAAGTAGTCCCAGGAAACGTCTGAGCTCACGGATCGTTGTTGGCATTTTATACGCTAGTATAGGGTTTACGCGTTCGGGTAATGGCTTAATGCCCTCCTTGCTGACTAAATATCCCAAAAACGGTAGCTCTGGTGCTCCCAATATACATTTGCTCAGATTTACCTTGACGCCGTACTCGGACAGGCGATGGAAAACCGCCTCTAGGTGAATCTCATGCTGCTCCTTCGATTCGCTGGCGATTAAAATGTTGTCGAGGTATGCGAAGGTAAAATCGAGCCCTTGGAGTACCTCATTTATGAACTGTTGGAAAGTCTGTATGGCATTGGACAAACCGAAATGCATGAACATGAATTCGAAAAGACCAAAAGGGGTTGTGATCGCGGTCTTTGGGATGTCGTCGGGATGCACAGGTACCTGATTGTACGCGCGGACTAAATCGACCTTGGAAAATATGGTTTTGCCGAATAGGGAAGAAGAGAAATCTTGTAAATGTGGTAACGGGTAGCGGTCGGGAATCGTAAGTCGATTCAACGCTCGATAATCGCCCGTTGGCCTGAATTCTCCATTCGGCTTGAGCACCATGTGCAAGGGGCTTGCCCAGTTGGAGGTGCTGGGCCTGCAAATTCCCTGCTCCATCATGTATTGAAACTCCTTCCGAGCCGCCGCGAGTTTGGCTGGGTGCAGTCGGCGTGGTTTTGCGAATACCGGCTGTCCCTTTGTTATAATGCGGTGCACGGTGTGGTGTTTGGGTGCCCTGGCCGTCCCTGCGGGGTAAGGATGGAAAATGTCGGGGTACTTCTCCAGGATACTCCGATATGTCGACGAGCTGGCTATTAGCGTTATTTAGCGTTACTTGCGTAACTTCCGTTTCGATCTTTTTACCCGTGGTGACTAAGTTGGTAATTGAGTCTCGGAGACGTGCGCCCTTTAGGTCGATTAACAATCCGTATTTCCGCAGAAAATCGGCGCCTATGATTGACTTACTGACGTCCGCTAGTACAAACGGCCACTGAAAACGGCGACGGAGGTTGAGCCCGAGCGTAACTAACCTGGTACCGTACGTTAGTATCGGTGTACCATTTGCCGCATAGAGCTTCACAGCGTGGGAGTTGTCCCGCGTACCGTTTCCTGAGAAGGGTAAAACGCACACATCGCTTCCGCTATCCACCAAGTACTCGCGGTTAGAAACGGGGTCGAAAATGAATAAACGGCTCTTGTTATCGGGTCGGAAATCGCATCGGGCCGTTTCGTGCGATTTCCTTAAGAGTTTCCCGACTGGCAGAAAGAGCATTATCATCATCGTCATCATCATCAAATAATCTGTATTACTTAGCCTGATACCGCTTGGCATAATCAGGTAAGAAAATACAGAAATAATTACATTGATGTTACATGCAGATAACACTTGCAAAATAATCCGAAAACAAATGTTGGGAAAGAAGTAAAGAAAAAAGAAAATAATAAATAAAAAAAACAAACAAGCAAAAAAATGAAAATAATAAAGTAAGTAGATGCCATTAACAGTAAGTGAGCTAAAGTAGATAAATATGCATATATACATTGACACAGCTGCATTACCTTACACATTTAAGTGTTATCACAGTTCATGCTAGGGTAAAAAATGAAGATGAATATAAACATGCCGCATAATAGATGTTAAAACACCACAGGTTAACATATACCATTACAAGTGAAGGAACACATAATAACTTCATTGAATACGTTGGATAGTCTTTAGCCTTCGCAGAATATCTTGAGCCACAGATAAACAATGATGCATATCAAGATGCCACTTGTAATTTAATGAATATCACTTCTAATCAGATAAAGTTTGATAAGTTCTTTGAAAAGGCCAAAATTTACTTTATTATGAACAAGGAAGTCTGGGTTTACAGGCCAGTCCATATTGTTTATATACTTGCTGCCTCCAGTGATGCCTAATATCCTCAAGCATGGGGCAGTTGAAAAGATAGTGTAAAACACCATCTTTAGTACCACAGAGATTACAGTGATCATTATCTATGAGATGGAATCTCTTAAGATATACACAAAAGCGTCCGTGTTCAGTTAAGAATTGCATCAGTTTATGACTGGGCTGCATCCATTTGTTCTGCATATGGTTTTGGATTCTTGGAAAAAATCTCTTTGTAATGTGCTGACATGAGACCTTGTCCCAATCAGCCTGCCACGCATTGATGGCTTCGTTCCAAACAAGTGACTTGAGTTTCGATTTGGGATTGTGGACATAATCATGATGATTGGTATGATTCAGTGTTGCATTACGTGCCAGATAATCTGCTCTTTCATTTCCTGGAGTGCCCTGGTGACCCCTGATCCAATTAACGGCATAACTGTTAGATGACATTGCAACCTCAGAGAAAATATCGATAGAGATGGGGTTTGTGGTGTCCTTGTTTCTTAGTTTGGTCACAGTGGCAGCACTATCAGTGTAGATATTTACGGGCATATTGACAAGATTGATGTTACACCATTTGATAGCCATTAATACCGCAAAGATTTCGGCTTGAAAAATAGAGCACTCAGGGTGCAGCTCAAACGTCTGATTATGAATCTCACCACTTGCATCAAAAATCACGAAGGCACTAGCTGTGCCTTCAGTAGTTTTAGAGCCGTCCGTGAAACCTTCAATCCTTGTGGGTACTTCACGTGAAAGAAGTCCCGTTCTCCAGGCAGGATGCGGAAGGGTGGCCACGCGCCTTTCAATCTCATACATTGAGGCATCAAAAATAGTGTCATTTATGCAGACATTTCTGCCCCTGGAGATCAGAAAACGCTTGCTGCTGAAAAGAAGATAGTGTAATATGGGAAGTTTTCCAGTCACTATTGGGAGAGCTGCATTAGAGACAGTGGAGTAACTCCGGGTCAGACGGATAAGGGCCCTTCGCTGCGCTGTGTGGAGAAGTCGGTGATTGTATGAATGTTAGTCAAGCAGATTGCAATCAGGTGAGATCAGCTCACCTGAGCTATGTTTTGGTGATGGCACCAACCAACACAGGCAATCGTGTTGGATAAGGAGGACTAGACCGCTGCTTAGTGGGTTTCTCCGACTAATCAACAATAGGCATGGGTGCTATCACAACACTCATTAACAGAAAATGAAATTAAAATACATATTGCAATCTTTTTATCAGTTAACAAGGAAATATGTGTTAAAATTGTTCTATTTATTGTCTTCTTTCTATTTTAACTATTAAGCAATTCGAGCAATAAACAAACTTTTAGAGTGAGAAATATATGAATAGAAAAACTTTTGTCTAATTAATTTGTCATTTTTTAACAGAAAATACCAATTTCAATACTGAACAACTTAGTGGACAATTTTAAAAAACTATGTTGTTTCATCGGATATAGTGATAACATTCAGTACTTATGAGTTTCTATGGAACCACCGTTTGCCATTGCGTGAATCCACAGTATAACAGACACTTAACTATACCAACAGAAGATGAACTATTCGATGTCTTCTTCCATAAAAATAAGGACAGTTAGTATTTGTATTTTTCAATACTATCACTTTTATGACGACCAGTATTCATGTTTAACCATTTATTCAATTATAGAAGAAAAAGTCAAACTACCACTTAATGTTCACTCATCAACAGAAGACGAAATCATAATAGATATTGCAATGTTTCCATCAGTTCCAGGCTTCCATATTCATCATTTTTCATTTACATTCAAAGAACACTTTACAATTGATGAGGAAAAATGGCATACATATCAAAGCTACTGAAGATACCAGAAGAAAAACTGAAGTGCATCATCGGACTTAACGATTATCGAATCGATTTCCTTGATGATGAAACGGGTGCATATGAGGTCGTAAAGAAGATAAGAACAGGCATTTCTTTCTATGGTGAGAGAGTTCAGACAGTTTCTTTATGTATCAAACATGTTGAATGCGATTATTATAAAGTGAAAGAAAAGTTAGAGAAATTAAAACGTTTGAAGCCAAAAATAGTGCAATAGAGATGTTTCGCATTCATTTTTTCTAGGATATGGAAGAAAGATATAATTGCAATACTAGAAGCATTCAAAGCAGAATTTCCTTTCGTTACCTACAGCGTGAACTAAATTTAAACAATGCTAATGGCACAATAATCATTATGACAATTATTCCAACCATTGTAGTGTTTCCTCCTCTATAAAAGAAACCGCTAAACCTCTGATATGGAACTCTGAAAACAGTCCTTTTTCTAAATGAAACAAATACAAACTTACACATTTATTTAATAAATTACTTAAATTTTATTATAAATTTTTACATGGTCATCCAAATTAGATGATAAATTTATAATTCATTATTTTATTTAATTTGAAAATTTTGCTTTGTTTAAATCATGAAAAAAAATCAATCTTTGTACTCAAAGTTTAATTCAATGCATTTTGTTGTAGAAGTTTAAATTATACTACAGTATATAAGAAGTGAATTTGACAAGAACAGGTCAATCATTAACATTTATGTCAACACGATAATGCACATTATTAATACAGTAAAACCTGTGTAAATTGGAATTGACAGTACCAAATATTTTTTCCTGTTTAAGAAGGTTTCCTTTTTATTCAGGTTCAGTTCTGGACAGGTTCATATTGTATTATGAAGAAAATGCATCCAAAACAAAGTCTTAAATCCTTTCATGTTTATTGATAACTTCACTTACAAATCTTGTGAATATTTATCACATTAAAAATATATTTTATCTAGCATAATTTTGAAAATAACCTTCATTCAAAAATAGTTATATTGCCTTATTTGTTGCTGCCACTCGTGTTCCTTCATGAAACACACACACTAAGAAAGTACTTAAATTTCTTTTTTCAACTTTAACAACAAATTTAATATATAAAATAATTATATATAATATATACTATGCATTTTTTTTTTGTATGCAGAAAATTCATAGAATTTAATAACTTCAAACACCTAAAATATAAATGCTGGCTTTACACTGTCTACAAAAATTTTTTCTATAATCATTATTTACAATAATTACATCAGAATTTAATAATGTAATTTCTTTAAAAGATACTCATGATTTGGTTATATTCCTGCATTTGTGAAGAACATAATTACAATATTTGGTCATTCTTAAAGAAATAAATGGATATGCATAAAAATGTTCTATTTAATTTTCAGCAACTTGAAAAAATATTGCTATTTTTACACCAAAATCTTGGAATTTGAATTATTACAAAAAATCCAAGCTTCCTATAAGAAAAATATCTCGGCGGATCATATACGCACACATGTTAAATTCCTTGACTGTTATATCATCTTTAAACTGATGAATTCTATAACAAAATATAATCTACAAATATAAGAACACACACAAACACACAAGGCACATGAAAATGTATGTAATAACAATTTAAAATGTATATTTGTAAAAGAAAGGTTGTCAGCAACTGAAGCTTTTATAATTATTTAAAATGCATATCAGAATGTGCATTTGCAATTTAACTGAGTTAAATAAAGGCATACACTTAAAAATAATACATAGCTATGGAAAGATTATTCTCATAATGGTCTCAATGGTTTACAACTTACTGGAATGAAACATTAAATCAAATCTAACATGAATAAAATAACAAGTGTAAAGTTAACAGAGTTAATTATTTGTTTGTCGTAAGCAAGACAACACAATTTATAAATAGTTATAAATAAATAATTAAAATTTTAGTGACTATTCATTTATTCTGTTATGAATAAAGAAATATCTCCGAGAATTGCAAGACAACTGGAAAGAATTCTTGATATTAAAGTTAATGTTTTTTCTTTCCAACACAGTTTAAGTATTAAACTGGTAATTCATTTCAGAAAATATAAATATTCAAGTGAAATTTATTTCACTATTTAAAGAAGTGCTATTTAATTCCTTCAATTAAAATTAGAAGTTCAGAAGTAATTAAAAATAAAATAACAAAAAATAATCTATTAGAAAATAGTAAATTTTAACTAAATCATTTCAATTCACTTGATATGATTGAATTTCAAATCTAATGAAATGAAACATTATAGTATTATTCAAATATATTTAAATATTTATACAAATCTTAAAATTTAATCTCTCACTTTCCAATAAATGGCAATTTCATTTACATTCTATATAAAAATATACATCATACTTCAGGTATATGAATTTTCAAGGATTGTTAAGAAGTTTTGTGTGTATTCTGATGTTGATGCAAGTGTCCCAACTGTTTAAACCTTTTATTACATGTGTTACAACTGTAGGGCTTTTCCCCAGTGTGAATTCTGTAATGAATTTTTAAACTGTTACGATAGAGGAACCTTTTTTCACAGATATCACATTTATGTGGTTTTTCACCCGTATGTATCTTTCGGTGTGCATATAAATTTGATTTGTTTGAAAATGCTTTATTACAGTAATTACAAGAAAATGGTTTCTCTCCCGTATGTAAAATTTCGTGAGTTTTCTTATCTGTGCTCGTTTTGAATTTCTTTGAACATGTACCACAACTGTAAGGCGATTCATTTGTATGCATTCTCCTATGTAACTGTAAATGACTTTTGGTTCGAAATTTCTTCTTACAAAAGTCACAGGTGTGGGGCTTCTGTTCCGCGTGTATCATAAGATGTTTTTTAAGATTTCCCTTTTGAGAAAAGAACTTGTTGCATATTTTACATAAAAAAGGTTTACTTCCAAGATGCATTTTTTCATGTTTTCTGCAGTTACCACCTTGTGTAAAAGCTTTTCCACATGTTTTACATACAAATGGTCTCTCACCTGTATGAACTCTTATGTGCATCTTCAAATCGGAAAGTCTTATGAATTTCTTATTACAAGTATTACAGATGTGGGAACCAAGGCATTGTTCGGAAGGCTTTGTTTGTTCAGCAGATTCCTTATCAACAGGCACTTGATCTTCTGATTGACTTTTTGAAGTACTAGGATTTTCTTCTATTTGATTACAAACATTGGTTGCATTGTGATTTTGTTCTCTTTTCTTTGATATTTTCTTTCTAGCTTTATTCAATGTTTTTGCATTATTATTGTTATTAGCTGAAAATAAAATCATATAATTTTATATAAGATAACTAACAACAAAACACTAAAATCATAATATATTTATATTACATAAATAAATTTTGGATAATACAGGGAAACTTCCATTAACATAGTAGAACCTCTACTTAACAGACATTTTACAATCCCCAGAACCTTCAAATAGGACATTTATTATATTCATCTCTAAATAACAGATGCTGTCATCCATAACCAACCTTACAAAAAAAAAAGTCCCACCTTGAATATTCTGAATGAATTAATTACCTATGAAATATTTTAAAAGAATTGTTTCAAATACTCGTTCAGAGGATGAATTTTGATGACAGCTATCGAATAAAGATGCTGTAAATAGAAATGGGGAAGAGGACAAGTTATAAAAAGCCGAACAATATCTATCTGTTACAGAACATCAATCTGATTAAGTTGTCAATCACAATTTATTGTCTTATATATTAATGTTATTAAACTTCTGTCTTGTTGAAATTAAGTTTATGGTACAAAAAAATCAAAAACTTAATTTCAACAAAAAGTTATTCATTCATTTGATGAAAACCATAGTACAGTATTAATGAAAAAGAAACAGTTTCAAGATTAAGACAACAGCATTTATTTGATAAAAGTTCAAAGCACAGTTTACGAAGATAATTTGCTGACCACTTTAAAGTGTAGGAAGATATACAGTTTTCTCACAATTATGATGTAATTTATGATCTTAACAACTTTGTGATGACTAAAGGATAACTTTTAATAAATCAGTTATTGAAAAAAGTAAAAAATATTTGAAAAATTAATACAAACTCAATAAATGCAAAGTAGACAAATCACTATATCGATTTTTATTAGTCACTTAGATCATAAATGATGTTATAAATGCAAGAATACAAAATACATTTCTCTCCCATTGGAGTGACTAACAAATTGTCTTCGTAACTTCATATTTGGACTCTCTCATGGCCTAAACCTACTTTCATCCACCTTCTGTTCATAAAAACAGTTTCATTTTTCTTTTATGTTACTTCCACTCAGGTTGTGTTTGATGAATTAATAATTAATCAATGTTTACATATTGTCGTAATTTTTATGTCCCATTTAATTAAAGTATCCTATACAATGTATTTGCTATTTAAAATTCAATTAAAATGGGATTTTTACAGCTGAAAAGATAAGTAATATACTGTGTATATATATATATATTAATTATGTACACTACATATTTTGGTATTTTCACATTCCTAATGCAAATTTGATGTTTACATATTCTTTATTATATGATTACTGTGTTAAAATACAGTATGACTGCCAGCATGTACAGTACCTCCAATAGCAGAAACCTCTAAAAAGGAAACTTCTAAGTTATTGATGGTGTCCACTATTTGGAGATTATATTATAATTGATAAATTTATCTATAAAAATAAAATTATGTAAATTACATATTACTGAATAATTTCACTTACTGATTGTTTGCCAATGAAACTCAAGTGCTTCAGACTGTTCATCGTTATACCAAACCAGAAGTTCTGTATTGGGAACAATCTGTTTAGATGTAATATAATATATTTTTTTGTGATTTTCAAATGCTACCACATTCTGTTTTTCTTTATCACACGCAAAATTCACATAACAAAGCCAGTCCGTCAGAGCATTATCCTTTGCAATCACAAAATGAGAAACTGAGCCATTCTTTACTACCTAAAAAACAAAAGTGATTTTAATTTTATATGACATGAATAAAATTTTATATATACAGTAGAACCTCCATTATCCGGATTTTCGATTATCCGGATTGTTCAAAATAAACAAAAATTTTACGAATTTGCTGATTTGCACTTGGCGAATTATGACACTGTTTATGTACGTGATGGAATGCATAACTTTTTTTGTTTCAACAACGTCTCACCCGGCACAGTGGCCGTAAACTCTTAAATATATTTTACGTAATAAAAATATAACTTGACATACGTATTTATAAATAATTTATATTCAAATTACATCATTTCTATGACCAAGGGCGGCGTAAGGCATGGACGACGCGGGCCACCGCCTATGCCTCGCGTTCTGAAGGGCGTCGCGCCTTGAAGGTTTATGCATTACAGTACTTAAAAGCCACGAACGCGATGAAAAAATTTTACTCGTCATAAAACGATAAATAGTTTGTCAAATTTTTATTCATAAAAATGCAGTTTCAACTGCTTTTTATTTTATAAAATCAGTCTTCTTGCGCCACCAGAGGGCCTTTTAAACAATAGGAAGTCTGTTAGCGTTGGTCAGTAGTAGTACAAATTTAATACGAACGTTTGATCACAATTTAAATACAGTATTTACTTTTAATATTACTGATATGTCATCGAAAAGAAAATGTGTTGTATTATCATTAAAAGACAAATTAAAGTATTTGTTTTGATTATCCAAATTTTTCCTTATCCGGACTACCTTCATCCCCAATTAGTCCGGATAATCGAGGTTCTACTGTAATATAAAATTCAAAAAGCAAAAAAAAAAGTTTAAAATAAATATTATTCTGTAACCAGCTGACTAATGAAGGACAAGGTGAGGTATATCTGTCCCAACATATCTGAGACAGATTATGAATGATACCAAATAGACACTTCTATATGCTCAATTTATTGTTAATTAATTAAAGTTTTAAAATTTTCATTATTTTTAATGAATACAAAATTTTTTTTTATTCTTGAAATTTACTATCCTGTTAGACAATATAACCTGTCTAAACATTCAATCTATAACCCAATTTTTTAAATTAAAATGTGGAACTATCAGATTAATTGTCTATACTAAGCTTAATTTTAATCGTTAATTATAAAGTAATATGACTATAAGTGAAGACCACCTACTTCTAGTCAAATTACTTTATAATTAATGATTAAAATAGCCTTAATGTAACCTGATAATCTGGTAGTTTGTTTGGCTTTAATATAGCCTGTCATTAAATTTCTCTAAATATGTTATGTAAGAAGTTTTATAATACACTGCTGGCCAATGCAAAATGCAACACCATGAAGAAAGATTCCATTGTTTCAATATCTGTAGTCCATTATGGTGTTGCATTTTGCTTGGCCAGCTGTGTAAAGTTATTATTCCTAACTTCATTAATTTAAATTTCTACTACTTATTAATCAATTTAACAAGCCATAAATTCAGCCAATACAAACATTCTTATTTAAATATGAAGTTACAATTGATACAAAATCCAAAATAATAAATATATTGGTCAAAACAATTAAAAAAGCAAACACCTAGATAGGGGCCAGTTTCCCAGAGAAAATCTTCCAGATGTTGCTTACAAAATCACTTATGATAAACAATTCTAAATGTCAAGTCTTATTGTTCATAAGGTACAGTAAAATAAACAGCAGTAACTGAAAAAATCATGCATTTCAACTAAATGCTTGCCATATTTTCATTTATTGCACTTGGTACAATACATTAATAACATACATGCATCTTTACAACCAAAACAAATTACTTATTTTTATATTATTGTATTGAGTAAAGTGTATAACCTCTGAACAGCCAAAACTACTGTACATTTGTGTGGCATGGAGTCAATGAGGTCGCCAATGAAGTGCTGGGAAATTCTTTGTCACTGCTCAATGAGAGCAGTCACATGCTCCTTTGTGGTAAACACATGGATAAACAATACAATACAATGTTGTACAGAATAAAATATTTTATTAACTGTTTGTGCAGTTCTATATACACTAGATTCTTTAGGATTCCAACTATGCAACACCAATATATACCAGGTTGTTCAATAGGTTTTGTCGTTCAATAAGAAGTGGCGCTATTAGGAGCATCACATTATTACTCTATAAATAGTACTACTATTTCATAAACATGTGTCAAGTTTCAAGTAGATCCGTCAACTCATTGTATATTTGCAGCTGTTCAAAGTCGACGTGTCATTGTATTTTTTTACGATGGAAAAAATCGAATATCGCGCAGTGATAAAATTCTTATTTTTGGAAGGTGTAGCACCAAAACAAATTCATGAATGATTGTTAAAAGTGTATAAGGACTCTTCACCTTCAATCAGAACAGTAGAAAGATGGGTTGCTGAATTTAAACGTGGTCGTACAAGTCTTGAAGACGATCCACGTGAAGGGCGTCCAAAAAGTGCATCAACACCAGAAATCGTAGAAAAAATACAGCATATGGTTTTGGAAGATCGTCGATTAACCGAGAGAGATTTAGTAGAAGCCCTAGGGATTTCGTTAGGCAGTATGAGCAATATTTTGGCTGAAGTTTTGGGTTACAGAAAGCTGTGTGCACAATGGGTGCCGCATTTGTTAACTATGGAACAAAAACACATTCGAATGCAACTTTCTCAGCAACATTTGGAGCATTTTAGAAAGGATAAAAAGGATTTTGTGCGTTGTTTCATCACTATGGATGAGACATGGGTCTACCACCATGATCCTGAATCAAAACAAGAGGCTAAGGAGTGGTGTGAACCCGGTACTTCGGCTCCGAAATGTGTTAGGGTCCAGAAATCAGCCAAGAAGGTGTTAGCATCAGTTTTTTGGGATGCAAAAGGAATTTTGTTTGTGGATTACCTCCAAACTGGTAAAACAATAAACTCAGATTATTATTGTAACCTTTTGGACCAGCTAGATGGAAAAATTCGTGAGAAAAAACCTGGTTTAAAAAAAAAAAATCATTTTTTATCAAGACAACGTCCCCTCTCACACAGCTCAAAAAACCATTGCGAAAATCAGTAAATTAAAATACGAATTGTTGCAACATCCTCCCTATTCGTCAGATTTAGCTCCCTCTGACTTCTGGCTGTTCTCACATCTAAAAAAATTCATGCGTGGGAAACGATTTTCATAGAACGAAGAGATAATAGCAGCCGTGGATGCGTATTTCGACAGTCTTCCGGATTCTCACTTTAGGGATGGAATCCATAAATTAGAAGATCACTGGAACAAGTGTATTGAAGTTCAGGGAGATTATATTGAATAATAAAATGTATTTCAAACCATAAAATCGTGTTTTTCTTATCGAACGACAAAACTTATTGAACAACCTGGTATAATATTTTGTTGTTATAGATCTTTGTATGAACAAAGGAGGGTGACACATTTTCACGACAATGGTTCTTTGCTGTTGAGATATTTTCCCAAAATATTACAACTAACTTAAACTATCTTAAACTAACTTGTATTCTAAAGGAGAAATAGAGGAGGAAAGGATAAGATGAGAGATAAAAATAATAAGAAAAGAAAAGAATGCTGGTGGGGGTATCTGGGTTTTTCCTTTGTTTGATCTTCACTATTCTCTAAACGGGGACTTGCGCCAAATTCACTTCTCACCATCTTTTTCTCTATCTCAGATCTGATGATTCCTAACTATTCATCAAAGTTTTGATTTTAATGTCTGTCTATTTCATTTATTTCCCCGCAGACGACCTACGATCTCTATGTCTCACTCAGTGACAACAACCTGAATCTTTTCCTTTTTCCGTCTGCTTCTTCTGAATGCTAGCTCAAGAATGGTTATCTCTCTCCCCAACTCACCTCAGGGTTTTTCCACATTATTGTTTTTCGGTGTAGTTCTCCAAAAACATGTTACCACCAGCAGGAAGGAAAGACCGTTAGAAAGTTTGAGAAAAAGATATGGAACAAAAGACTAAGGAAACTTAATATTAGTGTGAGATCCGGAATTTTGGTGACGGAAATATCGCTCTTTTATTAACAAAAATGTTAATTAATTAAACTTTCGTTTATGTAACGCCCTAGTAGAAAAAACAATCTTGCCCGGGATTGTGTAAACTTTCCGGTCATAACTAGCAACATCTATTGTTCTCTGCAGAACTTGCATCTCATCTTGCAAAAAGGTTGATAGTTAGCATATAAATGTCGTCATTTGTTGTAGATCCTAGGAACACCTATAACCCCTAACCTATGTACATCCGATCACGTGGTGGAAATTCCCCACTAAAACGGATAAAAGGCCGTTCTTACCCCCTCTCAGGGGGAGTCTACGAACACTGGATAAACAACATCGCGCCGATCTTCCGAACCTGCGGAATTCCGATCTCCGATGAACCTCGAATTAAATCATTGCTAAAGTTGCGATTTTATATAAATTGTGCCGTATTTGTGGATTATTCCTTGGATCGATATTTTAAAGGCATCCACGTTCAGAATTGTCAAAGTGGACGGCTATAAGAGGTATGAAAGCACTGTGAAACTCTCTCTAAGTCGGTATAGAAACTTTAGGTCGGTATAGAAACGAGCTTTGTGTAGTTTTTGTCATTTTGCCTATTCTTTAATAAATTGTTATTTTATATCTGTTAAAAAAATGGTAGACTCTTTTACTCGATCTCGCCCTTCACCTTATCGTCGACCCCAATCAACTCTCTTTACACTCGCCTGACATATCATCCTGACAATTGAACGGGAGCCTTACGCCCACGTATTCACATTAGACTTAACACTAAAAACATATATACAAAATTATGGCCTTAATTGTTTTGGCCAAATCATTAAAATTCAGAACTTTAGAAAAAGAAATGTTTATTTTGCATTTCATTGTTTCTTCTAAATTTTTGAATTTTAATAAAAACTTAAAACTTTAATTTTCATTACTTAAAAATATATACAACAATTATTAAACTACTTATTAACATTCTAATTTCAAAAAGTTGAATAAGCATATTTACCTCCAAATAAAATCCATTATGCTGCGTTTCGTTCAATGTTTGTACTATTTCTCCTTCATAAGGTCCATAAACTACTCCTTTTGGAATATCTACATCCGACCAAACTCCATAACCAGTTTGAGAATATTTAATTGAAAGACCGTAAGGTAAACTATCTATTGCTGTTTCCAGGAATGACAAATTTTCTTTTAGCTGTTTAATATATAATAATTATTAAGAATATTGCCTTAAATGTATGTTTAAATTCTTTATTTTTCATAATTTTAGACAATAAAAATATAAAAATAAAAACTATTTAATTAACAAAAATTATTTAAAAACTCACACTTCAATAAGAGTGTTAATTAATGTAAATATTTTAACCTTATTTTAGCAAATCTACTAATTAATTATTTATCAACAATAATTAATTATAGGACAAAGTTCTTTTATTAATCTGATGATAAGATGTAAAAGACCTATGCTTTCGTAATAAAAGTTAATAGGCGCACCAGATCATTGTAGAGCAGTGTTTCCCAATGCGGCCCACACCCCACAGGGGAGGAAATTTGATTGTTAAGAGGGGCAATTCAAAAATGGACTCGTCGAAAGTTTAAGTTAACCGTATAGCCGCTGTATATGTTAGGGGGCATAGCACAAAAAAGGTTGGGAAACACTGTTGTAGAGAGTAATATAATATAGTTGTAAAAGAACTTGTAGCCCAGAAAGCATCTACTTTAATCTGAAGAGGGACATAACTGTCCGAAATGCATATTTAATAAAGTAGATCAGCAAAACAGTTCTCTTGGTGTCTAGGTGAAAATGTTTCCCAAAACATGTAATAAGTCCATAGATTAGAAGCCAGTATAAAAGTTTAATAACTGTTAAAATTCAAAAGAACACAAATGTATTGATTTTAATTGACTAATAATTTTAAAAATTCTAATAAATTTTAAATTGTTGAAAATTCCTAAATATAACCATTTTAATTAAAGTTATCAATAGTAATTATCTCCAATTTACATAAAAAGATATATATTAACATGATTTTATGACTTTCTTCAATCTATTAAAAGTTTGATTATGCACACTTTCAGTATTTCATCACCATCCTGAGAAGTATTCAATTATTTGAATAATAAAAATATTGATGTATTTCTTAGAAAAGATAATCAATCAATATTTGAAAAAAATTTATAAAATAAACCAGATATATAAATTTTTCATATAATAAATGAACATTTTTATAAAAAGACAGTATTTTTATCTAATATAGAAAATCAATAGTATTCCATTTTTGCACATTAACTTTCTAAAGATTTGGACAGTTGTAAAATACAGCTGAAAATGTTAAAAGTGAGAGTGGTTAATGCAATTTTTAGGGTTTTTTTNTCTCAGATCTGATGATTCCTAACTATTCATCAAAGTTTTGATTTTAATGTCTGTCTATTTCATTTATTTCCCCGCAGACGACCTACGATCTCTATGTCTCACTCAGTGACAACAACCTGAATCTTTTCCTTTTTCCGTCTGCTTCTTCTGAATGCTAGCTCAAGAATGGTTATCTCTCTCCCCAACTCACCTCAGGGTTTTTCCACATTATTGTTTTTCGGTGTAGTTCTCCAAAAACATGTTACCACCAGCAGGAAGGAAAGACCGTTAGAAAGTTTGAGAAAAAGATATGGAACAAAAGACTAAGGAAACTTAATATTAGTGTGAGATCCGGAATTTTGGTGACGGAAATATCGCTCTTTTATTAACAAAAATGTTAATTAATTAAACTTTCGTTTATGTAACGCCCTAGTAGAAAAAACAATCTTGCCCGGGATTGTGTAAACTTTCCGGTCATAACTAGCAACATCTATTGTTCTCTGCAGAACTTGCATCTCATCTTGCAAAAAGGTTGATAGTTAGCATATAAATGTCGTCATTTGTTGTAGATCCTAGGAACACCTATAACCCCTAACCTATGTACATCCGATCACGTGGTGGAAATTCCCCACTAAAACGGATAAAAGGCCGTTCTTACCCCCTCTCAGGGGGAGTCTACGAACACTGGATAAACAACATCGCGCCGATCTTCCGAACCTGCGGAATTCCGATCTCCGATGAACCTCGAATTAAATCATTGCTAAAGTTGCGATTTTATATAAATTGTGCCGTATTTGTGGATTATTCCTTGGATCGATATTTTAAAGGCATCCACGTTCAGAATTGTCAAAGTGGACGGCTATAAGAGGTATGAAAGCACTGTGAAACTCTCTCTAAGTCGGTATAGAAACTTTAGGTCGGTATAGAAACGAGCTTTGTGTAGTTTTTGTCATTTTGCCTATTCTTTAATAAATTGTTATTTTATATCTGTTAAAAAAATGGTAGACTCTTTTACTCGATCTCGCCCTTCACCTTATCGTCGACCCCAATCAACTCTCTTTACACTCGCCTGACATATCATCCTGACAATTGAACGGGAGCCTTACGCCCACGTATTCACATTAGACTTAACACTAAAAACATATATACAAAATTATGGCCTTAATTGNCAAATTAATGTTAATCTTAAAAATAGGTAGACAGCATGTAAACCAATCACTCAGATGAAATATTGAAGTTTACTGTGACCTCTCCTAGTCCAATGGTTGGCAACCAGTGGTCCGCGAAAAAATTTGGGTGGTCTGTGGAGAAATTTGAACATTGATCAACCGAAGGTTACGCAAAATATTATGAAAGGAATGCAAAATGCTTAGTTGCTTTTCTCACTCATTGGGGTTTTTATTTGAATCTAAAACCAAAAACGAAGTGACTATTATCAATAAATAATGAACAATAAATAATATTGTGAGTGTGATTGGCATCCTTCATGGAAAAGCGCAAAGANAATATTATGAAAGAAATGCAAAATGCTTAGTTGCTTTTCTCACTCATTGGGGTTTTTATTTGAATCTAAAACCAAAAACGAAGTGACTATTATCAATAAATAATGAACAATAAATAATATTGTGAGTGTGATTGGCATCCTTCATGGAAAAGCGCAAAGAATCCATAAACTTGTTTCAAATACGCAGTAATGAACTTTAGGCTCGCATTAATTTGTTATGATTAAACATGTGAGTTTCTTATTAATATAGTAAAATTGGATTTTTGTGATCATTATTCTACAAATTTTGTATTGTTTAAAAAAATTCATGATAATGGTCCGCGGGATTCAAAATTGTGACTTTAGTGGTCCGTGAAGTCAGAAAAGTTGCCAACCGCTATCCTAGACCATCACCTTATAGAACCTATAAAAATATCTTTTTTTTAATTTTTCTTGTAACATACTTGATATCTCCTTTTGAGTATACCACTTTGTCTTTCTTTAGGAACTGTGCTTCTACTCAAACATTTTGTATCAGTGAAGACAACATAGCTTTGTTTTACTTTACAATACTAACATCTATAGATGTAAATAGTTTCAGAATTTATTTTCCCAACTCAACTGAAGTGGTATTTTAAGATAGCAGATTGTTATTACTCCACTTAACACTGTGTATTTATTTTTACATTCATGTAAAAAGATATAGTTTCATTTAGAATTTGTTTTATTCACTTGAGACTTGCATATAAATTTGCAAAAATCATTAACTATTCATAATTTGATAAACAGAGATATAATTTAAGTAAAGTAACATGTATACAACATCAGTAAGAAACAGGGCATTTGCAGCATATTCTTTGGATAGTGATGCATATGTTCATTTTGATGAAGTTCCTTTATTACGTATGATGTCAGATCCTGCACATTTGTTATATTAGAAGCTCACGAAATTTACAAGGTTGTTAAAACTAAAAGGTAGTCAACTTTAGAGATACAGATACATTCTCTACAGCATGGAGGGCATGTTTCAAACTCCTCTAGAACTTCCATTTTGTGTTTTTAATATTGGTTTTTATTACAATTCAATCTTAAATTTAAAAGTTTTAATTTACCTTTGATACCATTTGTGCATGAACACTTCAAACTACTTCTTTGTATTTAAATATATTTGACAGCTTGTTCTGTTTTCATAACCAAATACTTGATGATATTCATTACAAGCAGATGAAAATATTTGTACAAGTAAATAATTTGTATTCCTTTTACTGGTTTTTGTGGTATTTTGGGTGTAGTTTTATTTTGATCTAATTGTACAGAGTGTCTAGAATTTATTGACCAAATTAACATATTTAATAAATCATAAGCAATAACTGAAATGAGGAAATGGTTTTCTGTATCAAATGTAGCAACTCAAAGCTTTTCATTTCAAAGTAACAGGCACCTAATAAATTTAGTAAACTCCAACATTTGTACCTTTAGTAAGACATATTATCCAATCTGTAGTTGATTTTTTGCCAAGTATTTTGTAATTTATCTTGAGAGAGTGAAGCCACTTTCTGCATTATTAATGTTTAACTCTGCATTGTCAGTAACATTCTTTGCATACACTTTGTTCTTTACATGTGATTATATAAAAAGAAGTCAAGATGTGTGATATCTGGAATGTGAGGAAGCCTGGAGTAAAGCCCTTGAAGCCTATCCAACAACCCAAAAACTTATTGTCTAAGATTGGATGTACATTGATTCAGCAAAAACGTTTTTCTAAAGATAAAACAGTGTGGCAGATACTCAATAAGTCATAGAGTTAATTAATAAACTGGAACTTTTCAATTAATACTCATATGCACAAAATAACACCTTTCTCACATATTCCAGCAATGTTTAATCTTAAGCATTGCAACTTAATGTTAAAGTTGCAAAGTTTAAACCTCCAGTGTCTACAGTTTTATCCACTCAGCAAAGACCACTTTGAAGAAATATGAAACTTCCAAACCCCTATATGCTAAACACTCAATTTTCAGAAACCCATATTTCAGAAATACTTGAGAAGTGGGTTCTATAATTTGGACATGGAGCTATTTGTCTTAATGGGTATACATTCATCAGGTTTTGTTCGAACTAGAGACCTGAAGTCTGACCCTCTCCTTGTTAATAAAAAGTAAGAAGTACTTTTAATATTATATACTAATGTGTCATGTTATATTCATGTTATATTTAAAATTTAAGTAGATTTATATTACCTGAACATTTTTTTGTTTTGACTGTTCATCTTCTGATACTTCAGAATTATCTTCCTGAGTTTCTTTATTTGTAGATTTGTCTAAATATTTAATACAAAAAATATTAAGGTAATTATTCTTTATAATTCATTCAATGTTACCATATTGATAAAATTATAAAAATATATATTTCTGTATTTTCTCCAAGATAATATTTTATATAGTTCATCTGCAATGTTAGCTGACTGTTACCACAAACTTCTGTTGATTAATGAAAATATAACAATGCTCAATAGGATATTAATTTGTAGTCTGGTTATCTTTAAAAAAAATTATTTTTATTATTAAAATTAAATATGGTTGAATATCACTTTTCTTGAATTCAAATATTAACCAGATATTGAACATTTGAATATTTCAAGATCACACATCTTATAGAGTAAATACCAGGACTGGAAAATTTGGGCTTCTTATGCAGAAAAACCATTCATGTGGGAACTTCTTAAATGATTTCTACTGTATTTGGTTTATTATCATCATAATATACATGTAAAATTAGAAAGTGTGTGACCATCCTATTAGGATTTTAAAATCAAATAACATAAACTGAAATACACTTCTATGTATGTTTTATTTTCTACTAGTTTAAAATATATTAAGTATCTTACATATTTTTAAATTATGAAATAAAACAGATAATTATGAGAGAATTTAATCAATAACTCTTTGATAAAACATTTCAGTAATAAGTTGTGAGTGTTAAAGTTGTGTCTGTAATATTGATATTATTGTGGTGAATTTTTCAATAAAATTCTGTAATTTGAGGAAATTTTGCACACAGTTTGGGAATAATTGACTTTATCTGGCAACCTTTGCTAAAGAGACAATGCGTGAACATATAGTGTGACATTAGAAGTATTCATAGTATTCAATTTTTTTTTTATCAATGAGATATTCCAAGATCTTGAATACTTTCTAATATTTGGGATTTCATCAGTAATAAAAATATTTTTAACTGGTCAGTGAAAATATTTAACTGGTTGATCAACCAACATATGGAAAATACTGATAATACCTGGTAAGAGATTAAATGTATTTACTATCTCCAAACATGTAAGTTCCAATGGCGTGCGATGACATTTGATGATAGGGAAGCTGCGCCAGCCCTGGACAGAATCATTGGAAGCATTATATTTTGGTGTGTAGCATCCACAAGCTAAACTGTGCGAGGTTGGTGCTCTGTAAAGCATGCGCATATGCGAATGCATATAATCAGGCTGCTTTATGCAATTCAAACATTTTTGCCATGAAAGCTATCCCATATTCAACAATACAGCTCTTCCATCGAGAATATGTATGTACGAATTTATATTCAAATATACAATAGCAATCTTATCATTTTTCTCACATTATAGAAATTTGTACTAAGATACATAATGCAGTTATAATAAAATATTAATTTTAATTAATTCAAAGTACGTTAAAATATGAAAATAATTGCACATTATGTATTTATATTTTAGAAAATACAAGGAAAGCAATGCTTCCACAGCTTCCATGGACAGTAAGCCACAGGTAAGTTCAACGTATGTCAAAATATCATTGCAAAATTATTCTAAAGTGATTAAAAGATAAATTATTGCATAATTTGCACTATGTGTTTATTGCAAAACTTCTCAGCTGATACTACACTGAAGTCAATGACTCTTTCAATTAGTATAAAACTGTTGAAAGTAACTGATGTCCTAAAAATATTTTCTTTTCATTTCACAAGTTTCCTGAAAGCAATATGCACTCTGTAATGCCGGTGAAAACTTTTTCTTAAATATTTTCTGAAAAATTATAATTATATTTAATTATTATTATTTTAAAATTTATAATTATATTCAAATTTTCAGTTTTCAAACATCAGAATTAGACATCATTTTTCATCAAATGATAATTAATTTTCTTATTAAAACATTTTAAAATGTATTGCTATTTTAAAAAGCTAATAGGTTATTTTGAAAAATTTACACACGTAAAATAAATATTGGTTTATTTCAAGTATTTTTATATTAATGTAATTTCAATTCCCTGTTCAATGAAATATGCTCAGAAACAATTAATATTTATATGCATTTCTAACAATGTTTTTTTAACATGCTTTCACATATATTTGCAGATGATAATTTTACTTTATTGACATTTACATATTACATATAAAAACTGAATAGAAAGAATAGATACAATTTTAATGTTAATAATTCGATAATTTTATATTGTTTAATTTAATGATTTCAATAACAATATGAACATCTCACCTGAAATATTTTCAGATTTTACTTCTGCAGTGAACTTCACATATATTTTTTCCAGTAACAGTTTGCAATATTTGGTAATTTTATTTAACTCTTCCATATCATTACAGTTATTTTCTAAATTATTTTCATTCATCTCTATATAAAAAAAAAATTGTTTAACATGACTAATATAATTTCATTTCAAAAATTTCTAGAAAATCTAATGTCTTAAACTATTTATATTAACAAAACTTCCAGTAGTATTTTTTATAATACAATAATGATAATTACAAGAATTAAATATATGTATGATATATGAATAAGTGGAATTTCCATTGAATTTCATCTATATAAGACTGTTGAATAATACAATAGACAAAAAGTAAATCAATATTTCAGTTTGTCTTTGAAAAACTAAATATAAATTAAATTTTATATTTGAGGAGATTCTTTAACAGATTTATATATTGAAATAAATAACAACTATTGTATCAATTTTTCTTAGTGTATAAAAAATAATACTGAGCAGTTAATTGTTTTAATGAAGGAATACAAGAAATATAGACTAACAACAACATACGTAAAAAAAAAAAATAATAATAATAATTATTAGAGAATAATAATAAGACAAAGAAAAATGATTCAGCATTAATAACCTTACATAAAACCTCGATTAAGATCTTAACATTTAAAATGTTTAGTGATGTCACATTACAATACGCGAGTAATGAGAATTTAAGAAACAAATGCCTTTTTGATATTCAAAACATGGACTATTGAAAATATGAAAATATTTACAAATAAGAATCAAAATAAACTGAAAAAAAAATAAAAATCTTGAACAAAATAAAGTATGATTACTTTTATTTCTTGTAAATGACATGACAAAACTTATAGCTCATTAGTAAACTATAAATGAATCAAATATTTTTTAATATTTATACGTTAATGTACAAAGTCTAAGAAAGATGATTTAGCAAATATAATATTCTCTTATCCTTTCTCACTTTAACACACACACACTATTTTAACCACTCAGAGTTCTGTCGACATATTTTCTGCTAATGAAATTTCTGATGTCAATTATGGTTAGCATTGATTTAAAATAAAATAAATTAATACAAAATGTAAATAATAAAATCTGTACTAAAATAAGGATAAACATTTTCAAAGAGTATTCTGCTTATTCTTCAGAAACCTCCAAATTTTGAAATGAAAAACTTCATTCAAAATTAATTTAAAACATTTTTCTAAAACAGAACTAAATTCAAAATATTCATAAGACTTTTTCTTGGTATATACAAAGTGATTCTATGCAATAATTTACCAATTATAAACTATGAAATAAAACTGCTTAATGAATATAGAAGAGTAACTTTAAATTTTATTTAGCAACATTGTACTCACTCTATTGTGTCTAGGAGCTAACGTGATATAACTAGTTGTACCCAGCAAAACATTTGCTGTAAAAGATTGTTGTTCAATTACAAATAAATAAAGAAAATAAAAGAGCAATAAATTTATTTACATAAGACTTATAAAATTTCTTAATATAAAACATTAGTACTTTAACAAATTGGAAATAGATAAAACATTAGCATACTTTGTATAGATAGATACACTTGATTCAGTTCTATCCCTGATTATTTTTAACATAGATTAATGTTAATAAACACGTGTCTATATGCTCCATTGTAAGATAACCCTTTGTTTCTTCAAAAAAGTTCAAATAACCATGTAAATACCTTTACATTTAATATACATGCAAAAATCACTATCTAAGTCAATGACAATTAATTTAACATACTTCTTTGTTGCTTTTTTGTCTAAGTGAGGAACTAATAAGAGTTCTTTGCTTAGGCACCATTTTATTCAAAAGAAATGATATCAGTCTTCCTGACCAAAATTTAAAATACAATAATCTTACCATTACCAACAAAATTAAACAGTAATTGCAAATCAATGAACATCAAAAAATAATAAATAAAAGAATGCCAACTTGAGAAGCTATTCTTTAGAAGCATTTTTTATACTGGATGAGATAAATTTAATAGCCAGAATGGCAAGGAGGAACACCACTATGACAAGAGTGAATTCAGGTACATTTTCACTTTGAATTACTTTAAATAAAATTAAACAGTAAAATTAACATAATCGGGCTTATTTACATTAAATAAGGTTCTAAACAGTGTACAAAATGTAAATGGAATTCATACACTACACTAGTATCTTAATGAAATGAAAATAAATTTTGCATTAGCTACTAGGTAAGTTATTGTAAAAGTCTAAAGTCCAAACTTGTTAATCTGCTTGGGTGAGAAAAGTATTCATATATATTTATCTGTTATTTTATAATACACTTAAAAAATATAAATTAAAAAAATGAAAGTATTATTGTAATGATTGGGCAGTAATTTGAACAAATTGCAGATCTAAAACTTCCACTGTTGTCCACTGTCTGTCCACACATCCTTTTTTAATCTCAAGAACTGTTTTAGATAGGTGTAAGTCAAGACTGGATATGGAAAGCTTAGGGACAGGTGACCCCAATTAACTGTACACAAATTTCCTGACTAGACTGTTCGAAGTCACATGATTTCAATTTAAAACAGAATTACATAGATGACCAGCACATCTCTGTTGTTATCAGGAAAAGAATGACATACAGGAGCAAAACACCACTAATTTGAGTTTGAGAATTTATATTTTGAATTAAATAAATTTAGAATATGATTAAAAGTTGCAGCCTGGCATTGTGACAATGTCACAATAAACTTTGTTTTTATTTGATTTCTAAAAATAAATTTGGCATAAAATTTGGGTAGAAATAAGCAATATAGACAAATAAGTTGTTTATTATATGAATTTTTGTGTTTACATAAGTTTAATGCAGCAGAATAAGTGACATAATACATAGCAGATTTTACTAACTTTAACTGAATTAGTGAATAAGAAAAAAGACAATTCTTACTTAACTAATGAACAATATAACACTCTGTTAAGTAAAGTGAAAGATGCTAAAAAATATGCCCAGTAAAAAATCTGTTCACTATACACATTTGAAAAGGTATGTTCTAAATATCAGGAATGAAAAGAAACTAACAGAACCAGTATTTGCTGGAAAAGAATAAATTATTTACTACGTTTGTTTTGATGAACTGTTTAACTTGATACATGAAGTCCACATTGCTATTGGCCACCATGGAAGAATTCTGATGGCTATGGAACTGAATAAGACAAGTATAAGAATGTTACTATTGAATTTATTGTTACTTATTTAAGATTATGTGAACCTCATCAAAAGAAACAAAACACATTGAAAAAGGGTGTTAGTAAAACATATTGTACACAACAAAATAAATTTATGATGTCAGATTGATTTAATTCATTTGACAAAATTTGTTATTCTCAGAGCATTAAAATTGAAAAGGACTGAGGAAGTTGCATATCATCTTTTGGATATTTTCACAACATTCAGCACACTTAATATCCTTTATTATAATAATGGTAGAGAGTTTTGTAACTAAGTTATCAAATGTTTATATGGCATGTGGGCTGATATAAAGATAGTATATAGAAAACCAATGCACAGCCAGTCTCAGGGATCAGTCAAATATTCAAACCAGGACATCGGAAATACTTCAAAATGGTCTGAAGACTTGAAGTTTGTGCAAGTAATGAAGAACACAGTTTATTATGGATCAAATGTACACCATATAAAACTATGTTTGATGTTTCAATGAAAATGCCAACTCAGTTGTTCCACACGATTTAGTAAACGACGTTGAAGATTTAGTAAATAGACATTGAAGATGATTTTGAAAAAATGTTAAACACTGGAAATGGAGTACAAGCTAGAAAGTACAATTAGAGTAGCGAACAAAGCTTCAGGAGGTCAGCAAGAAAATATAGTTAGAGCAGACAAAGCAGCAGGAATGCATCATTTGGCATTAGTTAAAACTGAGACAGCAGATCCACTGTTATATGTTGAGAGCTGTGATGTGACTCCAACAACTAATGTCAGAGCCAAAAAAAGTGATGCTGTTTCAAAAGACTGCCAACAAAGGCCTTGAAATGCAAATGCAAGAGAAAAAATGAACACAGCCTCTTGTAACAAAATTCCAAAATCTACAATTGTACAGAATATAAGAATCAAAGTACAGTACTGAATGTAGACAGAGCATAGACCAATCCAAAATCAATAATAGCTGTGGTCATAAATATTGAGGATGATGAATTTTATCAACTTGGCATCAAGGTCAGAAAATAAAGTCATTGTACTGCAATTTGAAAAAATTGTAGACCTATAAATTTCCACTGTTATCTGTCCTGCCTTAATTTTGAGAATGATATTAAATAGATGAAAGCTGAGACTAGATATGGAAAGATTAAGGGCAGGAGGCCCTGATTAACTGATATAAACTTCTGATGCAAACCGAAGTCATGTTATTTCAATTGAAAAATTTCTCCTGAAAGGAGTTAGAAAGATGACTGGCATGACTCAATTCCTAAAAGAAAAGTATGATATACAGGAGCGAGACACTACTAATTTGAAGATGGAAAGCCAGTGGCGTAGTGTAGTGGGGGCAGCAGGGGCGGCCGTCCCGGGTGACACTTTTAGAGGGGGCAAAATTTCACAATAAATAATAATAATATCTTGTAAAAATTTGAACCATTTCATTTCATATTTTTGTTGTACCTATGATTTGGACCAATTGAAATGAACATGGAATTTTTCATTACTTATTCTGTGACGAAACTAAATTTTAGTCTTTTAAATTGAGATACCTAAATTTTCCCTGCGGCAAAATTTTCTTCCATCCTGGGTGGCTGACACCCACCCTACGCCACTGTGGAGAGCATATACAGTACAGCAGTGGTTCCCAACCTTTTTTCATTAGCGTACCCTGTGACATGTCATATCTCTAGATTGTACCCCTCATTTAAGAAATTTAGTGAGTACCCGTATTGTTAATTTTACATATTGTAACTTTAAATTAAAGAAAAAAAAACTAAATGAAAAAATGCATAATAAAGTTGTGATTGTTGCAAGGAACATTTTTTACCTAATAATTTTTTAATACT